CTCTCTCTCTCTCTCTCTCTCTCTCTCTCTCTCTCTCTCTCTCTCTCTCTCTCTGTTTTTCCGGTCACGTTATATCGTAATGGATGAATTATGGTAACCTTACTTCTCCCACTTGGTATTTCCATGCGGCGAGGCGTGTCAGAGAGTTATTATAGCATGATTGTATGGGTGATCGACTGAATGATCTGATTGCTTGGAGTGATGTATGATTAAGATCTGTTTTGAACTTATCTTCGCTGCCATGTGGACTGACGGCCCCAATCCGACCGGGGGCCAACTTCCCGTGCCCCCGCCGCGCCCTTTCCCGTACAACGAGGAAAGGATACGCGTATGCGAGTGGGACGTACGAGAAGCTGTCGCCAAGATCGGAGGGCGTTATTTATTTCCTCCCGAAACTCGGTCCTTCTGGATTTGTCGGTGCGGGTTTTATTATCATCAATACGCACTTTCCGCTGAATTCGTTGTTACTACCCTTTAACGAACTGATCGTCGTACCGTGGACGGCAGTGGAGCCTCATTGGCCTAATACTTTGTGCAGTGATTGCCTCCGCTTCGAGCACTACTAGGCCAAGAGATTCCACTACCGCACAGGTAGCGAGGACGATCATAAAGAAAGAGCCACTCGATTGAGGCCCTCCACGTCGGATTCAGAATTGTGTAGCGAACGCCGACGGGACCTCATCCGCAAACGAGATACGACGTGTGTACCTGCCCCTTTTTGGATTGAATTTCACATAGGTGCGAGTCCTGTGCGTGCCTTTTTCTCCCGTCAAATCCGCGCGGCGACGGACGTTCTTCTTGCTACAGTCGGACCAACACAGGGGATTTCAGTTCTGTCTGTGTCCCCGCACTCAATTTTCCAAAAATCCTTGGCACACCCCATCTTTGTTGCCTTTCCCGGGCCCCTTTTTGCAAACCAAACACTCCGACCGGAAGACAGCACAGGGTGTGAGGTTGAGTGTCACAGGTGTCTGCAACCGCTGTCCGGTATACCTGAGAGGGCCAAACAAGTGCCCCCATAGATGAGGAAGCAGAGGTTACGCTAAGGAAGCAGAAAGACAAGGTAGGTAGAGGTGGGTCCTGTGAGCACCCACCAAAAACAAAAGAAAAAGTCTCTCTTTTGGAAGAATATTTTGTATGCATGGCAAAAGTTATTTCAGACAGAAATATTACAGCCTACTACGAGGGACTCAGTCTTGAATCGAACACTGTTTGAGAATCCGCTGGTTGAGGGCGCTGTGGGTCAGGAATTTTTCCGTCCATGACACAGCGGGAAACTTTGGTAATTCATGGGTTGAAGGGGAGTGTTAAGGGTGAGGAATTTATGGAATGAAAAACACAACTTGTGGAAAACAGAGGACTGACTTAGAACGAGGCTGGCAAGACTCAGAAATGTTGGAATTAGACTTCAGGCCTTGAAAGATGCGATTTATTGGTCGTGGAAGAATTTGCTATCAGACAGTAGAATCCCGGATAATGGGTTATGGTGCCGACTTTCAATAGGAGAAACCCAGTTTGTTTACCAAGTCACAAATGATCTAGGAATGAAGGGCTATGCAGCCAAGAAGGGGGAAATTCAAGATACCTTGGAGTTTTCCAAAGAGCTAACTTTGTCATCACCGGTGAGATTTGACTCTCTGGAAGGGCCGACTCCAATCTATTGGTGGGGAGCTGCACCTGCTAGAAACGGGGTCCAACATCCCTTTAATGACATGCACCAGGGGCCAAGTTTACAAGAATCAATCAAATGGATACACAGCACGAGGCAGCATTGATTACCCTCTCCAGGAGGGGATTGACTGACCTCCCTTTTACGAAGCTATACAACAACTCAATTACTTGCCCTGTCCATCCTCCCCTTGAACATCCGTGATCGTCCTTCGCCCCAGCTTATGAGAGACGTCAACGTTTCAATGCTGCCTCCTGCTGTGTATCCATTTGATTGATTCTTGTAAACTTGGCTCCTGGTGTATGTCATTAAAGGAACGCTGGACCCCGTTTCCAGCAAGTGCAGCTCCCCACCAATAGATCGGAGCCATCGACCCCGCGAAGCCTGCTAGAGGAGGAGGCTCTTAGTCAACGTTTCTTCTGTCTATGGGGAAGCTCATAAGCTGGGGCGAAGGACAATTACGAATGTTCAAGGGGAGGATGGACAGGGCGAGTAATTAGGGTTGTTGTATAGCTTCGTAAAAGGGAGGTCAGTCAATCCCCTGCTGGAGAGGGTAATCAATGCTGCCTCCTGCTATGTATCCATTTGATTGATTCTTGTAAACTTGGCTCCTGATGCATGTCATTAAAGGAACGCTGAACCCCGTTTCCAGCAGGTGCAGCTCTCCACCAATAGATTGGAGCCATCGACCCCGCAAAGCCTGCTAAAGGAGGATGCTCTTACCAACTCCTGGTAGCAGGTACTTTCGCGCCAATGATGTTTCTTTCAAAAAAAAAAAAAAAAAAAAAAAAAAAAAAGATAGCAGTAAGATTGAAGACCAAGAAGGCACAAGCGGGGGGGGGGTCCTTCCAATGGGAGTCCAGATGGTGAAGGCAGCAGCTACTGATTTTCGAAACATAGGCTGACTCTCAGGTCATCGGAATGTCCAATTAGATAAAAACTACTTGAAACTGTGGACAACTCTACTGAGACAGAAAGTGAAAAAACAGACGAACCAATCAGTGATAGAACATAGGCAGAAACATGACTTGTTGGTTATTTCTACAACTCAACTAATATCAATTTGGCAGCAATTTCGTAAGCTACCTTCTTAGAAGACAACCAGTTTATTGTGACTTCTTCTCAGCATCGGCATCGACAGTAAATCTGGTCTAAAGACTCTAAACAGTATGACTATCTCAGAGAAGTGTGACTCTAAACAGTATGACTATCTCAGAGAAGTGCATTGGCTGCGAATGGGTTTGGGAGAACGATTGTCATCTCTGGTTAACATGTCCTGCCTCACGTAGATTTGGTTATGGCTAGTTCGATTTTTGTTTTCGTGAGATGTATCGCATGGTTAGATTTAACCGTCCTAGTCAATCGGCGCAGGGTCGCGTTCGAGAGATCAGCGCCTCGGGCGACAATTCTCGCACGGAACCGATTCGGGCGTTAACCGCACGTAACCCCTATGCCACAGCGAATGAGAAACGCCCTCGGCCTGACCACCTCTGCGATTGCATACGAAAAACCTTCGCATGTGGTTCGGTAGTTGGGAGTGGTTCATTCGGCATTGGAACCAGATTACGAAGAAGGCATTCGATTGGTCTGACTAGTGGATGATCTCAGGGACACGTAAAGCAGAGCAGCAGAATGTGAAGTTAATTGGCTTTTTGTTGCCCAAGCAACAAGGGGAATCATCATGAAATTTTTCTAGGATGACAGGAATAACCAACTGTTTCAGAAGAGTTTATCTCTGACGTTGCACACACAGGATACCCAGCACACAATCACAAGCCACTGGACCAGACGTAAACAAAGAACATCAGCAGAAAATGGCTCGATGAGACATCGGGAAGGGATTCTAGCCTTGCTAGACTGGATTCTGCAGACAGGTTTCAGTTCTGCCCTTGGTTGTTATCTCCACTGGGGTTCCGGGAGGGTTGTACCCACCCACCCTAGAGGCGCTAGGTGTCTGCAGTTTTTTCTTTTATTTGCTAGAAATGTGTTCAATCTGAGAGGTTGTGTCTTGGCGAGAAGCCCCACCTTTTTTTCACTGTTTTGAGGAACTTACATTTATGGGACACTGGAACCGGTTTCCAGGAGCCTAAGCTAGGTATTGGCCCCAGTACTATCACCAGGTTGTTTGTGAGGGATTCCCCGCCCTGCAACCTTCCATTGGTACTATAAGTTCAAATTGTGCGCCCCCCCCCCCTCAAAAAAAAAAAGACAGACGTTTATTATCGTAGTTACATCTGGCCTGAAATTTGGCCCAACAATACCTTTTCTGGGCCTTTTGGTTAAAAATAGATAAAGTGCCGTGCATCTGTTCTGATCAGTGTAATATCTGATCTGTGGTTCATCGGGCCACATTCAAATTCAAAAAAAAAAAGAGGAAGAACTTCGGCCCGACTGCGGCTATAAAGATCATCACTTGGGCGAAAGAAGGTGGTCGTGTTGATTACATTACGCGCCCGTGCGGCCCCGGCGCCCCGGACGGCCACGTCCGAAAAAAAATCAGCTTCCCTGCTGATCATCTGTTCAACACCCGAGCCAGACTCGCAGATAACAAGCTGCCACGTGCGGCCAAAAAAGAAAAAAAGAAAAAAAAAAAAGAATGGTGACACGCGTGCCAGTTGCAAACCGCGCGGATGCTATAGCTTGTCCAGCGCGACCTGCCAGGTGCTCTAATCAGAAAGCCACGTTCACTGATCACAATCCACGTGGTTTTTTATACACACGTCACATGCATGATGATGGGTACTAATAAGCCAGCCTCGTGGGCTGATGATCCCAAGCATTGGTCATCAGGAGCGAGGTCGCCGAATACATAGATGTGCATATATATATATATATATGTAGTCAAACAGGGCTGCCTACGGTGAACCGTAGGCAGAGAGGGAGGGAGCAGAGGACAACAAACGAGGGGCTGTGACAAACTGTTTCGTCGGAGTATATATATATATATATATATAGTATGCAATGAACCTCCACTCAATCCACACACGAAACCATACTTGCGCAGCAGAACATTCACGTTCACACTCGAAGCCAAGAGATGAGACCAGGAACAGTGCACCAGAAAACCGAACAATTATTATACAGTATACGAAGAAATTGTTCAACATTTTCTCTATATTCGCCCACCTGGCTCCTGATGACCAATGCTTGGGATCATCAGCCCAGCGGCTGGCTTATTACCCCTCATGCATGCGACTTATATACTTGTCAAGTGATTTGCAACGCAGCTGTCAGATCGGCAGAGCGTTGATGATAATAATTTATGATCACGATCCTTTCATAGCAAGACGGCTGGTGAGGCCGAAATGCTTCGCCTCCATCCGCCTGGCTGGCAACACTCATTCCTAACGTTATGTACAGCTGGCATTCATATATATATATATATATAGTTCAGCCTCCTGATGAGTCGGTGAAACTTCGACAAAACAGTTCGTTAAACAGAGCCAGCTGGCAGTGATGATCACATTACAGGCCAGCTGCAACTAAGTCGTGGAGAGTGACCAGGCCCACAACGACGTTGTAGCTCTTATTAACGTCTTTACCGACCACTGGCAAGCAGGTTATGGGAGCTGGCTTCTCCATTTTGCGCATGGCATCCACGGCCATGGCGTCCGACGAAATCACTCGTGGGCGGCGATGACACAGCTCCCCGACCGTCCTCTGCAGGACATCACCTCCCAACTTATTGAGTGCTCTCCGTAGATCGCCGTCCGTGAAGATTCCCAGTAGCTTCCTCTTGTCGTCTGTCACCAACAGACATCCACATCCCTTGGCGGACAGCTCCACGAACGAGTCCATCAGCGAATCATTCTCTCTGCACAACGGCAACTCTTCAGCTCGCCTCATCACATCCTGCACCTGCATACCGTTAATTGCAACACCAATCAAACATCACACGCATGCACTGATTAGTTCACAGCCAAATATCTCCAATCAAGCCCGCCTGTGCATGGCCTGCTCTCCGCGTGTGCCGGCTACTGATGAGGAGGTTAACCATCACACCTCTGTGTGTGCTTTTGTGCGAAACTCCGACGAAACAGTTTGTCACAGCCCCTCGTTTGTTGTCCTCTTCTCCCTCCCTCCCTCTCTGCCTACGGTTTACCGTAGGCAGCTCTGTCTGACGATACATAACTTTGTGACAATATATGTATATGTATATGTATATAGAGATTGTCACAGCCCCTCGTTTGTTGTCCTCTTCTCCCTCCCCCTCTGCCGCCTACGGTTTATCGGACAGTTCAACCCTGTTTCGGGGTCTTTGTTTTTTTTTTTTTTTTTTTAAATTGGTTCTGTAGATAGTTGACAACAACCTAAACCACCTACCTGCAAAGTCTTGTTTGATTATGTTGAGCAAAAAAAAAAACTAAAATTCGAAGAAGAAGGTGGGGGGTTAATTTTTTTTGGAACCCGCCCCATTTTGTCTTTTTTCCCGAACTCTTTTGTGTAGATTGATTGATTGATTGATTGATTGATTGATTGATTGGTTGGTTGGCTACCCTCCACGACCAACCATCCAATCAATTATTCAATCAATCAATCTCTCTTTTTTTTTCTTTTTTTTTTTAAATTGATTGATTGATTGATTGATTGATTGATTGATTGATTGATTGGTTGGTTGGTTGGGGGGGGATCGCCCCCCCCCCTGCACGCGCGCGCGAACACACACACACACACACACACACGCGCGCACGCGCGCGCTGCCCGCGCGTCACTTTTCCCCGTCGGAAAGGGGGCGGGGGGCGTCCCCAAGCACCGCGATCCACCCCTGTCCGTTTTTAGGAAAGTACGGGATGAGGGGGAGGGGGAGCAGGACGAGAGGGAGGGGCAGTGAACGGGGGAGGAGCAACGCCAGGAGCAGGAGGAGGAGGAACGGGATGAGAAGGAGGGGGGGGAGGAGCCGCAGGGAGAAGCGGGAGCGGGCGCAGTGGGAAGAGAATGCCTCTGCCGTGGGCGTAGCCTTGGCGGCCATACTCATAGTTGTTTTCCACGGGGCCGCACTGTGTGCCGCGGGCGTAGCCGCGGCAGGTTCGCTTGCTTATACTACCAGTAGTAACGGATGAATCTTGGCAGCTTCTTCTGCGGAGATGCGCAATCGCCCCCCCTCCCTCCCCCCCCCCCCCCCCCCCCCCCCCCCCCCCCTCCTCTCGGTTTCATGACTGGTGCAGCGAGGCCCATTGCTACAGAGACGACTGCCCAGCAAACCGTGCGCAGGGCGGGAGAAGACGACAAGTAACGGGCGCATGTGACAGACTGTTTCGTCAAATCTTCATCGATCGATTCATAAGGAGGGTGCTGTCCGATCCATGTCACTAGAATGGGTGATGATCCTGGGTGCACTCAGGTACCTTGGGAGTAGGGATGCGTCGGGGAACGTAATGATGAGTAAGGGTGGGAGGGTGTCTCATAGGGGGCCGGTTAGGCAATGCATCGGGATATGATCAAATGGCCAGTTGCTGACGGGCCTGTCATACGCCTGGTGGCTAGCCTCTACAACAACCTGGACTTCTATGGAAAAAAAAGGATTAAAAAAAAAAAAAAGGAGCGCGAAGCCAATTATGTGCATATATATCGTCACAAACAGTATGTATATCGATACATAGTATATACATATGTATATATACATGCATATACAGAGAGAGAGCAAGAGAGGGTGAACCCAACTCCTCTTCGTCCCCTGTTTTCCTTCTCAAATGTATTCTCTTCATAGACGCTGCAATGGCGCTGCATTGGCGCCGTTATGAGCGTGTAATGACGCTGTAATGAGGGTGTAACGAGGGTGTAATGAGGGTGTAATGAGGGTTTAATCAGGGTTTGATCTCACTTTGAGGATCAGTCGCTTTCCGATTCTTCCTGCTGTGTAATGAGGGTGTAA